ATAAAAAAAAATGATAAAAGAGAAATGTGGGTTGAGACAGAAAAAAATAATTATTTGGGGAGGAATATGGTGGCAAAATACCTGAATCGCCGTTATATATATTTTTTATATTTTTCGTTAGCTCAGTTTTTAAATAGATGGGTGAGTACTTTGTTGTAACATCGGAATTCTGAATAACTTTCAATGAAATAATTTTATAAATAAAAATGGCCCACAAAAACGAGCGTATAAACCAAAAACTGTGCTATTTTGAATTATCATCGGTAACCTTGAATATTTAAATGTGCAGAGAAAATTATCAGTTACATTAATATAGTTTGGTCCGTCCAAAGCGATCTACATTTACCTAATCGGGAATGTCCTTATTAAAATATTCTACATCTCACAACAAATACTTTAGCTATTTGACCAACGATGTTTAAAATTTTTTTACAGAATCAATCTAACGTCAACTTGCCTTTATTAAATGGAGACAGACCGGCGGAATCAATGTTCAATGTGCTTTATATCTTGTACCTTTGTAAGACTTATCATTCATTCATAAACCATGTCTATACCGCAGACATATATATACATATAATTATATGTCTGTCTTAACTGACAAAAATACTCCTGGTTTTACACTAGTAATTTGTTGGGGCCCTTTATAGCTTAATTGCTGTTCGGTGTGAGCCAAGGCTCCGTGTTGAAGACCGTACTTTGACCTATAATGGTTTACTTTTATAAATTGTGACTTGGATGGAGAGTTGTCTCATTTGCACTCATACCACATCTTCTTATATCTATAAGCAGTATTATTTTTAAATTTCTGTGATTTAATACCAAGAAAGAAAAAAATCCCGAAATTAATTTGATACTTTGATACTCAATATTTTTCCTGGAAAATATTCACATCCTCATTCGGTCTGAAAATAAGATAAGAAACTGGTATACATAACATGCAGAAGTGTGAATGTCATAAAACCTTGTTATATCAGAAACCATTATAAATGTGAACCTGTATACGTAAGACCTCATGGGACGATGTACCTAACCACATACAGGTAATATACAAGTAGCTCTGTTATACCCGGAAATGTCAAGGTTAATCACTACCGATACAGAATGTACCAATGCAAAGTAAATTCTGATGATTGTGAAGCATGACCATTCATGATTTTAGAGGAGTATTAGGTGGGGGATTGTCGGAACGATTTAAATTCTGACTAGATTTTTTCTCAATTTAAATCACTGAACTAAAAAAAAAAGAAAGGAGAAAACAACGTCCAAGAAACTTGTAACTTTCGATAGACTTGACCTCCAACCCCCCCCCCCCCCCCCCCCCCCCCCCCTCAAACTTGGGAACATTATATCTAACAAAGTTATGTTCCTGCCCAAATAAAAAAAAAAAAAAAAAGAGATGAACCACTAGAGATGAACTGTAAGTCACATCAGATTCAGATATTTATATAGTTGATTGTCGTTAACTAGAGATGTATAGTTACATGTCTCTGCGTTAACTGATAAGAATAACAGGAAAGTATAAACTTGAAATAGATTTATGATGAATAATATGCAACTGCGGCACCCCTTTTTATCAAAGCGTACATGCATGTATTTTAATGACTGTCCGTTATTTCGATTATAATGACAATTGTACGTGAAATCCTATAGTTGGTGAGACTTTTTTTTTACCAGATATGCGACTTTTCGTATTTATATTTTCTCTTATATTACTCTTATTTAATATTTTATGCATAAGTGCAATAGTGGGAATGGTTTATTCCCCCACAAGCTAACGTAATAAATTAATCAACCCTCAAGCTGATCAGACGTTAATACAACTACAATCAGTCTATCCGCAGTGAAGTTTCTTTATTTCTTCAAATAAACTTTTGGGGATCATTAGTGTACGTCCAGTGGCATATATATTACATGCATGTCGGAACAGGAAAATTGGCATAAGGTTCTATTAGAACCATGTTCACATTAATATACATTATACCCAACAATTGTGATGATGACGAATTTCTTCAACTGTTCGAGAACAATCTAATTGAAATATAAATCTGTGATTTTACTATGTCCATAACTTCGATGAACCAAAGCAAGTTAGATATCGACCTGTATTTAAATCAAATTGGTTCTAGATGTTCTTTCTTATATTCAATATACAATTTTAAATTGCGACTATCTATAGTTCCGTAACTTTCTATCTAGGCGTATAAACCAATGATCGACAAGTGCGTATTTTTTAAATCAATAGTTTTTCATGTTTCAAAATGTCCATCATTATTGACAACGAGTATATACCTACATTTTCCCCAATTTACCCTTGGAAAAATATGTAAATAGATTTTTATTTTATCAAATCTTTTTTTGGAATTATTTAGATTTTCATAAAAATCATTCTTTACACTAGAAATGTTATTTATAAACAAGCGTATGAGTTTAGTAATGACTAGTTTATCACTATCGGACACGCAAGACAAAGATGTATATTACACCTGATAGTTTTAAAATGGAAAGTTACAAGTTATCGGCCGTGTACACTAATCAATACCCCCAGAAGTGAAGCGATGCATGAACATGCTTTATGTAATTGTGTAATAAGAGTTTTTAAACCCGACAGGAAATCGCTTGAATACCTGGACGTGTCACCTCACAATACCTCAGGGAATAATTCCTTTAGCCATGCTGGTGATCAGATAAGAGAAGGTCCGAATTTATTTAAATAAGTTTATTACATAAAAGAATTATGAACAAATTAGATTTTCGAAAACGATTTTACACGGAACACTTATTTATGACTTTGAACTTTGACTTTTTAACTAATTCCCATATAAATTTCTTGTTTCAAAAACTTCGTAAAGAAAAAAACAGTTTTAAAACGACAGACCATAGTTATTTAAAAAAATAATTACATTTTCCGTATCAAGTTAGTTAGTCGGATACATGCGACTACGTTAGGTTACTGCTGGTTTTGGTCCTTTGTGGTTTATAGATATATCGGGGTTTCTAAACTGAGAAGATGTCAAAATGGCCGCACGCAGAGAATTGATACTCTAAATTTAAAATCGATGGTGATCTCTTATCTAGCAGAATAAAACTTTAATATTTATGAATTTGTGCTTTTTTATACAGAATGGACATAATATCAATTTTTTATTTTTTTGCGAAGTTTCCCTTTAAGTGTATTTTTTTGGTTTTTTTCCTTTGTTGTATTTTTTTTTTTCAATTTTCATTATTTTCAAAATATATAATCCCCCCCCCTCCCCCCCCCCTCCTTTCTTTGTTATGTAATTACTTACTTATTCTTTTTTCATATCATTGTAACATTGCATGCTATTTTTTTTATGAAATCGTTAATTGGAGTTGGTATTTCAAGGAAACGGATTAATATAAGCTATGTACAGCTTATTTCTGAATCCTATTTTTATCATAATAGTTTATTTTTGTATGATGATATGTTTGTAATGATGACAAATAAATATGTTTAAACTAAAAGATTTCATACAAAAGAGTCAAAATCAGTGCTTGAGACACGATATATTTTCATGATAAATCTCTTTATTCGGAATTAGATATAGTAAATTGCCTGTCCCCCTATTTCTATTAAAATGAAGTAGAAAGTACATTATTTTAAATATGAGACGTCACTGAAATCACGTGCACATCGAAAAAAAAATGTCCACTTAATAAAATAATAAGAAGGACCCAGTAAGAACAGTAAAGGAAGAAATCTACAATAAAATGGGCATTTACAACTTAGCATCGTTTTGTTTTATCGTCATTTCTATGATTCTATATTTATCCTAATGTAAATGATTATGAACATAACCGATTTCCATGAATCATGTTTTGCTTTGTGTGACTGTAGGGTATATGAGTCAGATGTATTTGCAACATATTTATTTGAAAACCCCCACTAGTTGATATATCATTTGTAGATACTAATTTTGCCGTTTGCATATGTTTTATTAATGACTGCTTAACATCCAACGGCATGACCATTATAACATGTATATTCCTAACAACAACATGAAAATAAAAATGATAAGAATTCCTGCAATTTATATTTGCAGACAATGTTCAACTTCCTTCAAAATAATGATAGTCGACAAATTTATCTACCTCTGATTATTATTCAAGCCTAATTAAAATCGTTGACATAACTTTTCCGCAGATTATCATTTTGATTAACAAAGTAACAACATTTAAATGATAACAATTCAAAGTATTAAAATAAAAAAAGACTTGCTTTATAAGTTTGAATAATTAACAAAATTATTTTGTTATTCTTTTAACAATAAAATTTCATGGGAAACACACATATACATGTATAATCGTCTTTACCCTTAATGATGGATTGGATGGTAACGGTATTACTAATTAATACATATAAATATATCCTTGTGGTCATTTGCAAACGTTGCAAATTGAAAAATTGACATCTGAAAGGTCACTTTACCGTCACATCTGTTAATTACGAGAAATACATGTATAAAACCAGACACGATTCAGAGTATCTCATTTTCATTGGTACATTAATGTCAGGTCATCAAGGTAAAGGTACACCATCTATTTTTTTTTTTAATCTTTCTTTCATTTTATTACTTTTTATTTTTTTTTTTTTTATTTAATTCTTAAGTTAATTGACGTTTGTAGTAAAGACAGACTGTATGATTTTTATTTATGTGTATCGTTTCTTGCGCAAACATGTAGCTACAAGGTCACTGGAAGTTTCTTTTCTTTTTATTTTGGCATGTGAACGGTATTTGGGTTTTGGTTCAAAGTTACTTCAGGTTGCTCGATAATTATGACTTAAAAATAACGTGAAATGAGGTTAATTATGTTTACTGAAGTGCATGCAAAGTTTTTTTTAGTTGTAAATGTTGACCTTTTTCTGAAATAGACATCTGAACCTTCACGTTGAAACAAGCACATTCCAGTGTATCAAAAACTATTGATTATGAAAGCTTTAAAGATATTTGAAATATCAATGTATGAAGAAAAATATGTTTATTATGTTGCAGATGAAAACATTATCATATAGCTTGATTATACTAGCAGTTATCGTGATTGTTCAGTCTGAGATTCCCGGAATAAGTAAATATATTGTATTATATACATAACATATATATAGTTTTTTCATTAGTAAAGTGCAAGTCTTTTCTAGTGTTTAAAACGGTTCTGATGCCCAAATTTCTTAATAAAATTGGTGAAGTGTCTTGTGCTCTTAAAATTTAAAAATGATACATATAATGGCAGGTCAATACGTAAATTAATTTTACAAAAATATTCTGAAATTTGTCTTAGGAAGATTTACAATAGAAGAGGGGAGATCATGATTAGTTATTGCTTATCATTCTGAAAAGACAGTGTCGCAATCAACTTCATTTACTATGATTGTTCTTCAAGTTAAAGGTTGTCCAGGCTGCAGCGTAAAAGGGGTATGTTACTTTCCTAACCAAGAGTGGAAACAAGGATGTTGGACGAAGAAATGCGTCGTCTACTCTTCCGGTAATCTGCAAGGATGGAAAACATCAATAGTAAAAACACGTATGTTTTTTTCTTTCTCGTTTTTCTTTTCGGAGTTCTTTACAAATGTGAGTATATTTCTTATTTTCATATTTAATGCTAAAACAAATGTTTTAATTGAAATAACTTGTGTTTTTATAGGTACGTGTGACTTACTGTTAAAGGCATTTAATATACAATATTCAAATTGAGAAGGATATTTTTTGACATAAAATCAATTTTCGAAAAGCGCATAACGTATCCTTATTTTCAAATGGCTACCAATGGATCGATGCCACTGCATCTTTAGATGTATACTCTGAACATTATCATTTCTCCGATATAAGATGTCTTTGTTATGGCATGATTTTATCTGAATTTTATAACTTCAGAAATTTCTAAGTTGACAAATAATGCCAAATAGTCTTTAGAAATAGGTTGTCCTCCCGATTCGACTGTGTTATTGAACTGGTTTTTAGCGTTCTCCATATATAACATTTTAAAATAAAAACCAAAATATTTTCGAATAGTTGTAGTAGTCAAATGTAATATAACTTCCAATTTTTATCCATAAACATGTAAAATAATGATACATTCTTTTATTTATATCTTTTAATATTATATCCAATAGTTAAGAAACGATTATTGACACGAATGTTTTTGAAAATATTTTGAAACTAATGTGTCATACTCAATTTGCAATCGGGTGTGGAAGTTTTGCTGATTAATTGCTGATTGCAAAGGTGTAAAATAATTTTAAAATCACTTCGATATTTGCTGTATAACTATTTACAGTTTTCCTAAGGTACATACATTTATACTAGTCATAGATAAATATCGCTAACGCAAAATATAACATTGTGAATGTTTTTTTGGCTGTATTACGTTGATTGAAACAAAACCATGTAAACTATAATATTCTTGTCGAACAGATTTTTTTTAATTATCATGTGGATTTGTAGTTCTCTTTTATAGATACTTTTTTGTTTGTTTCGTTATTATTTTTATACTGAATATTATTATATGTATGTAATTCAGACATTGTTTAACAAAATAACTATCGGCATTACTTGTGTTTTTGTTGTTTTTTTTCGTTATTTTTGTGCTTTGTTGTCTCATTGTTACAACTACCACATATCCATTTTTATTTACCTTGGGAATAGTTTTATTGTAATAAATCACAATTGTAAATTACCAATCTGAGTTCATAGTTGTTTTTTCTTGAAGCTGAAGGTGAATTTCTCATTCCATGACATGTGTTGTATTCAAAAAAGGAACCGCTATACCTGTCGACACACATTGTCTCACTCCAGTATGTAGCATCCAATGATTTTTTTTGTGTCATGTGGTCTGTAAAGACCTGATAATATTTCCTTCATACTTATTCTAATAGCAATTGTGTAGTTACTGTTATAGTTTAAGTTTTGTATGAACAAATATATCATTATTATATATTTTTGTTGTAGAATGTCCAGATAATCTTGGTAGATGTGTCGATCACGGTCAACAAGTTGCAGAAGGATGCTTCTGTAAAGTGTCAGGATGGCAGTGGTCAGTGATAGGAAAATGTTATGGAAAATGAAATAAAAAATGAGTAATAAAATATTGTCTTGAAGTGCATCGGTACTGACATGATTTATAATACAGAGACGGAAGATACATAAGGGATAAAAGTCAAACACAAACAGAAAACGCCATGGTAAAAAACGAAAAAAAACGATCAAAAGACAAGCAACATAGAAAAACTAAAGACTTGGCACTAAAAAACGACACGAACTCCAAAATCCAGGGGAGGGTCTCAGGTACTTACGAGAATGTCAAAAGGCAATTCATCTTGCATTTTTAAATAAAGCTTTTTTGATTTCTCGCCGACTATACAGCTGCCATATTCCTCATAGGTCTTATATTTCTCTTTCCGTTCCATATTACATCATTTTAAACACAAAGCACATGATAAACAAGTCGTCGAGTTACTGAGGATGTTATATCAAATTTTAAAAAGAAGAAAAGTTAAGGAACCTATCCATTGGTTATTCACTATCACACTAATTATCTCATCGAATCAATGTTTTTTGAAGAATGGTAGGAAAATGGAAATTGTCAAAAGGTAACGACAACCGAGGGATGTTTTTGACAAACGAGACGATTTTAATTTTGAAATTATCAATTTTTCCCACCTTAACAGCAAAATACCACTTAACCGGCATATGGGATGTACATTTACTATCTCATTCGGTATTCAAGAGCTTGCTGATGCTACACAGACTTTATAAAACGTCACCAGTGTCTGAGCGGTAGGATGATGCACCAGGGGTACTATATTATGTCAAAGAACGTCTTGTCCTTTTTCTAAAAAAAAGTTCATCTGAAGATACCAAGAGCTTGTTGATAAATAAACTCATCATAGATACCAGGATTGAAATTTTGTATTTTCGCCAGACGCGCGTTTCGTCTGCAAAAGACTCATCAGTGACACTCGAATTAAAAAAAAATCCTAAAAGTTATAAAAATTCCGTATCAACTTCACAAATAATACACAATGGTCTTGAAGTAAAGATTATAGGTAATGACGTGGTTTATCATTTTAATTTCGTGTTTTAGTGTTTTTTTATTTGTCTTCGTATATTGTTAACCTTTACTGTGTAGTCTATTTTTGGTAATACCCTTTAAGCGTGGCTCTGTATCTATACATCCCGCTATTGTGTTATTATGCTCTGGTCATTTTTGTATTCTTGTCATCATTTTTGCTTATGTGCATTGTCTATAGAGAGTCTTTATACCATTTTGTTGTTCTTTGTTGACATTGTGGCTTGTTTTTATAGTGATTAAGAATATAACACAATGTTGACTGCTGTACCCCTTTTTTTTTGACATTTTTACCTTTTAAGTCTGTTTGTTTTGTTCATACATTTTTGTCAAAATAATGGAATTGTCTGCGACTGTCACGCAAGTGAGAGGTTTTGCTAGCTATAAAACCAGGTTTAATACACCATTCTCTGCATAAGGAAATGTCTGTACCAAGTCAGGAATATGACAGTTGTTTTCCATTCGTTTGATGTATTCAAGCTTTTGATTTTGGGACTTTCCGTTTTTGAAATTTGGAGTTCGGTATTTTTGTTATTTTACTTTTTAGTAGCAGACATAAACATTGTCGATCCAAATATAGACGATTATTAACGTTTTATACGTATTGGTGTTTTTAACAACCGAAACTTATTATTAGTTTATATATATATATATATAATTTTAATTTTGGATGTAACGCGTCTTCTGATTGGCTGACGTTGTTTTGTTTATCAGCTCATAGACATAATTTTGTCATGTGACCGTGACGTCATCAACGTTTTTTCATGGTTTACTACGGTTTAAAATGGAATTTAGAATTAAATTATAAGAAATGACTGTAATATTTTTTCTGTCTATTCGAAATAACATAAAAAGGTGGTGCACACTTTAAATAACCCGTAACGCGGGTTATTCAGTGTGCACCACATTTTTGATGTTATTTCTTCATAGACAGAAAAAATATTACGGTCATTCCTTAAATATATATATATGTGTGTGCTGAAATCATTAAACTGGCACCCTTTACCTGTTTTGTAAATAATGATACTTTCAAGTGCCAACGCTAACTGGTATGCTAACACGCAATGGAACAATGATTCTGTTTCAGTTTATATATTTAACATTTTGTTATATGATACATACACCAACCATCATTCTGTCTTAATATAATTTTTTCTAAAGCAGGCAAAAAGTCATTAAACAGCTGTGTCATAGATAATCTACGATATATTTTAACTTTTCATGTAAACATACTGTCAAATATAGGGTAAAAAAAGTGAAAATGGTACTATTTTTTACATAAACATATGGTAAGCTGTTAAAAATATCAAACTGTATTATACGTTGATAATCGTATTTGTAGTGGAAATGTTAAAGATAATGGGATCTCAATGTTCTGGAAGTGTGCCTCTCATCAGTTCTCCTTCTTTTAATCATATGATCTTCTTAAAAGATCTTAACAAAATTATTTTAATTTTTGCTGCGTAATAAAGAATTCTCTCTTAATGAAAAGTGAGAATATAATTTTCAGTTGATCAGATACAATAGAAAAATATATTTTTAACCTTTTTCATCTTTTTACACTTTATAGGACAGTTAGTTTTACAAGGATATATTTAAGTGTATCTTGGTCATCTATGACACAACTGTTTGGTGAACATTTGCATGTTTTTATTTCAAAAGAAAAAATGATAGTGACATAAAACAAGATTTTAAGGGCATACGATACAGTTTTGATCCCATAATGAAAATTTGATGAAAATTTGCAAATGGGCTATTTTTTTACCTGATTAAATCAAATATGTAATTAAAAATAATTAAACCTTCATGTGCTACTTTTTGAGTAAAATGAGTTCGAAATTCCAGATATTTGCTCAAAATTCGGATTTGTAAACGTATTTTTCCTTCCGACAGAAATGCATAACTTTTTTGTTTTAAAAGATAAACACAAGCTGTTTTTTGTTAAACTATTTGTAATTTCTGTTTTATATAAGAATCCTATAAATTTATGAAATCTTTTGTTTAGAAATAACTCAAATTCATCAAATGTTCACGAATGTAGAAAAAAACGTCATTTTTGCTATATATTTATCAAATTTAAAAAAAATGCATTATTGACTTTTTCATGAAAATTGGTACAAATAATCTTCATACGTAATCAAACCGAATGTCGTTTTAAAAAAGAGGGGTCCATGAACTCGTTTTCAAGTTAAATCAGTTTGAATGATAAAAATCAGTCGAAAATACATCTTTTCCCGATATGTCACAGTTTGACGTCGCCAAAATAACATTTTACGTTAGCAACGTCATTACCTCCCCTGTAACTGTATCGTTTGCCCTTAAATATGTCAACTTAAACAGAATAATTGTTTCATTGCATGTTAGTATACAAGTTTCCGTTCCCACTTGTTTAGTCTTATTATGAATAAAGATAATAGGATATCAATTTTTATTTATTTTGGATCCACTTTTTTTGTATGCCTGCTGCAAAACGTTTCTCGGTTGTCGTTATTTATTGGCAGTTTTGACATTCCAATCATTCGATGAGTTAATTACTGTGATACCGATCTGATTTTTATTGTTTGCTCTTACAACATTATTTTCTTACCAGTAATGCACCAGTTCACCAGTGGCGGATCCAGAGGGGGGCGTAGAGGGCGTACGCCCCCCCTTTGCTTGAACTTTTTTTTTTTTTTTTTTTTGTAAAATGATGAATCAGACTAGACTTCGTGAACTTTGCCATTTCCCGGTCGTGTATTTAATTTTTATGCGACAATTCTTTACTTATAAAGATATTTTTCGCTCGTATTTACTGTAATATATTATTGATTATGTCAGTCATGTGTTTCGCTACGGTGGAGTTGATCAGTACGTTTGAAACGCCACTCAGTCATTTTGAAATTCAAATTACAGTAACACATTGCTTAGCTAGGCGGAGGATGACAAGCATCACGCCTTCAAAGCGACAAAGGATTGAGCAAGAACGTATTGACTTCTATTTCATATTTCCACTCAACAGAAAGTAATACTCTATTACACTCTCATGAAAAAAATGTTCCACGGCAATATTATTTACCTACGAAAATATGTTTAACCCCACACGCCCCAGCCAATTAATAACATTGCTGAATAATGATCCCCAGTCAGTAAGCTCTAGATATATTTAAAGTCTAAGGTACGGACCATTTGATTTGATAGGGCAGTCAGATATTTTCGAGAAAAAATTCTGACCCTGATTTTTGCCTTACTAAACAAAAATTCTGGCCATATCTGTAATGAAAACAATTATCGTGTCCCCTTTTTTGCTACAAGAAAAAAAATCCAACAGAATTATTCAGCATTAAATGAGCATGGTGAATAAAAAACGGGCGTATTTTTTTTTGGGGGGGGGGGGGGTTGCATGTAAATCCCATATTTAACCGGAATGTCTGTTTCGCCGAACTGATATACTGAATACTTTTTTCAAGGCCCAACTGCAACCTGCCTGTTGGGTGTGGCCTTTATGTCTCCATTTGTCGACCGTCATTCACAACTTCGTTGTCATTTGATTCAAGTTCAGACTCATTCGTAGCCGTTGGTTGATTTGGAACCCGTCACTTCCCTAGTTGAGTGAAACATTTCAACCAAACATTTGGATAAAAATTGCTTGTTTGTCTTTGTTCGTGTCGGTCGTATTATAAACTTCATTGAATAGCCGTATATCATGTTTACAACAGGTAATCTTGAGGTTATGCTAACTAACCATACAACAAACGAGAATTTTCCATGTCCATTTTTTACTGACAAATCCCACATCAAATATATTAGTACATAGCTTTAGATCCATTCAATCATTTTATAATAGACAACTAATGGGGAGAATGCGGCATCAAAAATGTCCAACCCAAGCTTACACTTTAACTATAAAATAAACATACCCTACGTTAGGAACCGTCACTAAGAATGTGCATTTTACACTTATTTTATGTTTTGTAGCCCAAAAAAGGTAAAAAAAAAATCCTAGATCCGCCCCTGACTCACCAATATATTTCAGTTATGTTCTTCCTTAGAAAGGGAGACCGGGTGCGTCAGCAAGGTATACGTCTCCTGCTATGCAAGCGTTAACCAGTTGGAAAATCCATTCTGTCACAATGGTCACAATGTCACTATTCAGAATAAGACACACACGGTAAAGTAACAGATCAGACGACTATTCTGTTACCTAAAGAAACCGCAAAAACATGACACGTTT